TTATTAATGGAAAAACATATTAACTAACAAGCTAGGCGGAAGTGATTTAGACTTTAAGTTTTTGGCTGGTGTTTTAAAACTCAACGGTATGAAACTAATTTTCTCTAGCAGGTAATAATTCTGCTTGTACATTTATGTTATGATTAATTAAAAATGGGGAAGGAACTATAAGGACTGTGCGTAATCATTCAAAGGCAGTCATGGGAGATGACAGCAAAAGGAGCTTCAGGATAATGAACATGAGGGAATCAGTAGTGTAAGGAAAGGGGGAGGGGGTATATTCAGGACCCTCCTAAAACCCTGTCTCCCGCTTTCCACTGTGAAGGCAGGGCTGGAGACCTCTTTAAGGTAGAGAGGATCATGCTTTCTCAGACTCGGGGGACAGTCTTTTTGTTTGTTTAAATCCCTGAGAATTTAATGCTGCATTCCCAGGATGAAATTTTTGTGACAGTGGTGGAGTGGCCCCTGATGGTCCACAGACCCCCACCTCCCCTTTAAGAAAAAAAAAAAGAAAAAACTAGATCTGAGCTGTAGTCTTCCGAGTTGAAAGACTACACAGCTCTCTCATAGTAAAATCACCTTACAGTATTGAAGAAGAAAACCTATCTGGTCATAAGCTTCATAATGCTTCAAAGTGTAATATGTAGGAATTGAGTAAGTTTAGGAGCTTTAGGTTCATCTGTGATTTTGTCTATATTATATTTTGTTTGGTTATTTTTTTAAGCCAAGAGTCACTGCATAGCAGCCATACTTAAGATAAACAACACCTAAAAGCTTCATTATCAGTAATAATGTGGCAAAGGGAATACAGTTACAAAGAGAGACAGAATAGCATGTAGTTTGTTTCTGCAGGGGCAGAAAAAGATGTTTTATTCCAGAGGCAAACCAGCTCCATCTTGACTTAGCTAGCACTTCTACTGTGTTTTGCTTTTTTTTTTTTTTTTTTTTTTTTAAACATTTATTTATTTTACTTGAGAGGCAGAGACAGAGAGAGGTCTTCCATCTGCTGGTTCACTCCCCAAATGGCTGCAATGGCTGGAGATGGGCCAATTCAAAGCCAGGAGCCAGGAGCTTCTTCAAGGTTTCCCACACTGGTGCAGGGGCCCAGATACTTAGGCCATCCTCTACTGCTTTCCCAGGCCATCAGCAGGGGAATAGACAGGAAGTGAAGCAGCCAGGACTTGAACCAATGCCCATATGGGATGCCGGGACTGCAGGCAGATGCTTAACCTACAACAGCGCATTGGAGGCCCCTCCTTTTTTTTTTGGTCACTATTTCAGAATACTTGTCCCCCATAGCGCCCCTTCTGAGCGACCTGTTACTTGGTTTACATGTAGGTGTAGGCAAGGACGCCTAAGGTTTTGTGCTGTGTGCACAGAGTTCCCAGTGGTCTGTAGTACAGCCTGAGGAAAACTGAAAGCCATCACAGGAATGGGGCCTCACAGCTCTCATGCTTCAGCAGTTTCCTGCTCTGCCTTCCTTCTTGGAGCGGGTTACAGGAACGTGGCTTACTTCTGAGTCTTTTCTGAAGTTGGTACCAATCGCTGTATTCCTTAGGAGATTAACCTGAGGCAGACAACACATACTTTCCTCTAGTTGCTTTCCAAAGAGGTCAGATTCATTTCATAATTTTTATTCTATCTGGGGAGCAGGAATTCAACAACAACAAAAAGAACTTCACAGATTATGAAATAATCAGTTTTCTGGTGACATGGATCTTAATCTAGAACACTGGTTCTCAAACTTGACAGCTATCAGAATCATCTAGAGGCCTTGTTAAAACAGATTTCTGGGTCCCACTGTTGCAGTTTCTGACATAGTTTGGGGATAGGACCTGAGGATTTGCCCTTCTAACACACTCTTCCCTGTCTCTGGCGTAGTCAGTGTTTGTCACAGCATCACCTTTAATTATTTTATCATGCTTCTGTTTATTGGTTGTGAGTCCCTTTTTCATCATAGATTTCTTAAGTTCATGGCTTTAAATCATGTGGTGTCATATTTACTGAGCATGTGGATAAAAATTCTATTTGTTAAGCTATTTAGCTAAGTAAACATTTTAGTTTTTCCTATTTGTTTTAAATTGTTTTTTTTTCTTTTCTAGGTATTTAATACAAAGTTGTTTAAAGTCAAAGAAAGACATTTGTTTCTTACCTATTTAGGAAGAGCACAGTATGATCCAGCAAAACCTAACTATATCTCTTTGGACAAATTAGTATCTATTCCTGATAAAATATTTTGTGAAGAGATTGCCAAAGCTTCAGTCCAGGACTTCAATAAATTCTTAAAAACTCTTTAGTTTTTGATGAATGTTAAAATGTAATATTGTAACATGAATGTATATTTGAATAAATTAATATTTTAAATAAATGCCTCAAGTCTCAATTGGTACTGGAAAAATTTTTTTAAAGATTTATTTATTTAAAATACACAGGGAGAGAAGGAAAGAGAGAGCTTCCATCTGCTGGTTCACTCCCCAACTGTCTGTAACAGCCAGGTCTGGGCCAGGCCAAAGTCAAAAGCCAGGAATTCTGTCTTGCTCTCAAATGGGTTGCAGGGGTCCAAGGATATGGGCCATCTTATGCTGCCTTCCCAAGTGCATTAGCAGAAAGTTGGATTAGAAGCGGTGGAACCAGGACTCAAATTGGCACTCCAGTATGGAGTGCTGGCATCACAAGTGGTTGCTCAACCTGCTGAAGCACAACAGTGGCCCTGGGAAACAATTTCTTGATAAATATTAGGGTCTACACACTGGTAGCTCTTCCATACAAGTTCCTAGTGACTTAATTCTTTTTTGACTCAACCATCTAGGAGAGAGCCAAAAATATAACAAGCTTAGGGAGAGAAAGTTGATCTACTTGAGGCACACATACTCAGAATTTTCCATGGTGAGCTACTAAGGATCAGGAAGGAGGTGAGGAAAGTAGTTTGAGACTAAGTAGAAGGAATGAGACTAAGCAGACATGACAAACCTTTGACTTACAGCCAGTAAGCAAAGATTCTTAATATGATTTGGTCACTTTTCTCCTCATTGACCATGTATTATCTTGGGTAAACAGTTCAGCCTCTGACTTTGTAAAATGATGCATCATGACTTGAGTTACTTGCCTTGAGACCCCCACATTGGGTAGACTGTTAACATGGATGGCTCCCAATGGAGCCCGGCTGGTATCTGCACTCTTAAGAAGTCTCTCACACTGACTCAGGGCCAGGGTGAATTGGCCCATGGAACATTATCAAGCAGAAGCTTGATAAGCACTTGCACATCTAGGCATGTCCCCTTGGAACCCAGCCACTCTAAAGAAGTCTGGTTACCCTACTTGAGACGTAGGTATAGAGTGATGCCTGGCCAAACCCCAGCCGTTCCAGCCACGCTAACTGAACACCAAATGGAGTGAAAGCTATTTTAGATAGTCCAGCCTCAGCAGACACATGTGGACAGAACTATCCAACTGGATTCAGAATTGGGAGAAATCAACTGTTTTAAGCCACTAATATTAGGGGTAGCTTGTGCAACAGAGGTCTGTGGAGTCCCTTAAGATACCTTGTGGGAAACTAAGTTTGCAAGTGGTCAGGGCCTGGTATAGTAGCCTTTCTGTTACTTATTTTATTCATGCACTCAAAGTAGCCTTTCTGTTACTTATTTTATTCATGCACTCAACAGGCATTTGAGTTCCTAGAACACTTGTGAGAGGAGCGTACATACGTGCTTTCACAGTTGGTCCAGGAGGAGGTCAGGAAAGAAGAAGGAACCGCTGGGATTCAAGGGATAGAAGCATCTGCCTGGTCTTCCTATGGCGCAGAAGCTCATCTTGCCTTTCGGAACACCCTCTCATAGCAGAACAGCCGGCTGTTCTGCTGTAATCAATGATCCCCAAACTTCAAATAATTTAAGACCACAAAAGTTTTTTTTTTTTTTAATTTATTTATTTGAAAGAGTTACAGAGAGAGGCTGAGACAAACAGAGGTCTTCTATCCACTGGTTCACACTCCAGATGGCTGCGACAGCTGGAGCTGTGCCAATCCAAAGTCAGGAGGCAGGTACTTCTTCTGGGTCTCCAATGCGGATGCAGGAGCCCAAGGACTTGGGCCATCTTCTACTGCTTTCCCAGGCCCTAGCAGAGAGCTGGATCGGAAGAGGAGCAGCCGGCACTAGAACCGGCCCCCATGTGGGATGCTGGCGCGTCAGGCCGGGTCTTTAACCCGCTGTGCCATAGCACCAGCCCCCACAAAAGTTTCTGTTGCATACATATCTCTTGGGATTTTAAGAGGGTTCTACTCCATCCACATCATCTTTAGGATTGTTGTATTCTGTGTCTCCACTGCAACTGCAGGGTTCCAATCACAGAAGGGGAAGGACTGTGGCAAATTGCTCTTAAAAAATAAATACATTCTTGCCAAAGCATTGCATAGCTGTGCCTAACATTAAAGGGGCAGAGAAGTGCAAATTCTATCCTGGGCCAGAAGGGAAGAAAACCAAAAACAGCTTTTGAAGCCACACCAAGGACTATCAGAAGGCATCCAGGCTCTCCAGGATTAACACCTATAGGGGTTGGATTTTGCCACAGTCCTGTGTATGATTCCTTAACATAGGGTCTTCTTTCACTTGCTGACTCAAGCTGAAACTGAAAGGGTGTGGAGGAGGAGAAAATATATTGAGTACCTGCCCTTTGCAGTGTGTCAGTGTATAAATATATCTACTTTTTCATGTCTTGAGACCACTTTGGGGAGTGTAGGCTGGAAGGCATAGTTCATTAGCTTTTAGTGCCATGTGCAAGGCCAACTAATACAAGACATTGTGGCAGCACAGATAGAAAGGGGAGAAAACAGACTTTTAAAATTGGGAAGTGATTAATGCCATTAAATCTAACATTTCAAATTTAATAAGAGACAGTTTTGTTTGATGTCCCAGGTCTCAGCTTCAGACTGGGAGAGAGATTGTTGGTGGGTGGTGGTGGGAGCTCACTGTTGTACTAAACACCCCAATTGCTCTCTGTTACTAAATTATTATGCCCCATATTTTAAGTCTTAGACCTTAAAAATGGGCAGATTTATGTGCTTCTTTTATCTTAAAATATGCAAATTCTACAAAACCTGTACATCTTAGATTTGACTTTTTTAAAAACTCATGTTTTAAAAGCCCTACTTCTTTTCTAAATGTTTATTTGAAAGGTAGAGGTACACCTGCTGGCTCACTCTCCAAAAGCAACAACAGCCAGCGGTCTCCCTCAAGTGTGGCAGGGACCAAGGTGTGTATTAGCAGGAAGCTGGGACTCCAATCCAAGCTCTTGGACATGGGATGAGGGCTCCCAAGCGGCTTCCCAACGGCTGCGCCAAACGCCAGCCCCTTAGCTTTAACGTCTTTCCTGAACTTAGACTGAAATGACTTGATTTTTTTTTCAACTGGAGAAACCGAAGGCCCAGAGAGGTTTACTGTTTTTTTTTTTTTCTTTTCTGGATTAACATGTAGTTCATAACCCTAGACTTGAGCGTAAGACTTCCATTACAGACTTTGAATTACATAAGAAATGTTCCGTAAAACGTGCGGCGCACGGCCTGACACAAAGGACTCAATACCTCTCAAGGTTTCACGGCTAATAAGTAACAGAACGTGAAATAAAGCCCCGGTCTCCTAACTCCTTGCCTATGCAGTTTCCCATCAAGCGACAAGGAAAGAATCACAGAACGCGAGATCTAATGCACCTGCGCAATACAAAGCGCAGGGCAGGTGCCTACCGCCCGCCGTCAGAGCTGCGCCTGCGCGAGCGTCTCCGTCACCTCGCGACGTGACGTAGGCGCCTGCGCCCTGGGCCCAGAGCGTCCTCTAGGACTTACCCAGAAGGCAACGCTTTGCTCTCGGGTCAAGATGGCGGGGAGGCCTGCTGGTAAGTGAATGACAGGGGTCTTAACGTGGTGATTGTCGCTGCGTTCAACCTTTTGTTCTCGTAACAGCTTGCTCTTCTTCCTCTGCCTTCGCTAATTGGCAAGGGTTTGCGGCATGACGGAAGGCGGCGGCTCCAGGCCAGCCTGAAGGACGTGCTTCCCCCACCCCGTGCTGCCCCTAAACGGGGTTTGCCTGGAGGACTGGGACGTGGTCCAGCAGGTGAAGGTGCCCCGGTGGCTGTGGCGGCCCTGGACTTCCAGCTGCCGGTGCTGGGCAGTCCTTCCCCTCGGCCTTGGCGAAGTTCAAGGACACAAGGAGGTAGTGGACGATTTCGTACCAAAGAGAACTGAGTACTTGCCGTGAGCCTAGCGCGGGCATCCGCGTGAGCTCGATGCATTCTCGCCTGAACTAATTGGAGCAAAATGACCCGAGGAAACAGGATTGGAACCTTCACTCCCCGCCTCGTGCTTTTCACTAGGGATCAGGCAGCTAAGCAAAGGTTTCGGATGACCTTGGCTTATCTGGAACGACAGCTTGATCTGTAGGTTTGGAGAAATTTGTATTTATTGCAGGCACAGAACAGACACGTTATTATGGAATAGAATGCAGAAATCGCTGGAAGCTTTCAAACGAGGTGCGCATCAAGTAGCGGGTGGTGGTGGTGGTGTGTGTGTATGTATGTATGTATGCCCTCTGCCGGTATATATTAATAAGTACTTAAAAAGAAAAAAAAGTCCCCTTATCCTTATCCCCAGTAATTGTCAACCATTCGGAAACAGATTGCCCAGTAAATCTGTTAACCTGTATGATACTGAGATTTGGGGGATTGGGAAAGATATTTAAGAATTCATTATTTTATTAATTTGACAGATATTAAAGGAATCTTGCTAAATTCAAGGCTTTCTGCATCTGTGTTGTGTTTGGGAACCACACAGACCTGATCTTACCTCTCACTACACAGCTCTGACCCTGGGTAGGATGGCTTCTGTAAACCTGCTTTGTCTTGAACATTGTGATTAAACCAGTTTCATGTGGGGAAGGCAAATAGGACAGCATGGCACAGTGTTCAGAGTATCAGTCACTGCTGTCAACATTGGTGAATGTGTTTACAAATGATTTGTCTTCTACAGTTGTTTTAGGTCATTGACTCTTTGATACTTGTATTTCTAGAAGCAATTTTATACATCGTTTTTAATTTTCCAGGGGATTTACCAAGCCACATAATCCATAACATACGGAGTAGGAGCTAGGAGGGGTTGGAGTGAAAGAAGAGTTTGCTTTTCTTCCTTGATATGGGACCAGCCGTAGACAAAATTTTGAAAGAAAATTTAAACTTGCTTAACTTCCTCTTGTGTAGTACATTTCTCCTATGAACCTCAGGCGCTACCACGTTGTCCTTTGCCCCTACTGAGTTACCTTATGAGGCTCAGCCCTGTTTCCCAAAGAGTTTTACATGACCTATTTTTACTCACTTATTTTCAAATATCCATCCATTTCTCTG